TATTGGGGTGAAAGCTGAAAGACCAGAGAAACAGAACAAGCCACAGCTACCTCACCTCAACAATTCCTCAACTGATCGTGTTTCCTCAGACTGGAAGCCTCTGAGTCCTCATCCAGAATGGATCTCAGCTGAACTGCTGCTCGAAGCCTAAAAGCTTAACCAGCCTAATTCCCGGTCCTCACGCCTTATATACCTTTCTGCTTCCTGCCATCATTTCCTGAGATTAAAGGTGTGAGTCACCATTCCTGGCTGTTTCCAGTGTGGCTCTGAACTCACAGAGATCCAGGCAGATCTCTGCCTCTGGAATGCTAGGATTAAAGGCATGTGCCACCATTTTCTGATCTCTATATCTAGTGGCTGTTCTGTTCTCTGACCCCAGATAAGTTTGTTAGGGTGAACAATATTTTGGGGAACACAACATCACCACAGAGGTAGGGTGTTCCCGGCCCCTCCTGACAAGCCAGCTTCACTTCCAAAGAACTTAATTTGGAGGCTAGGGTGGGGTGGGGTGCTCAGTGGATAGAGCACTGAACCAGAATGCACAGGGTAGTGTGTTTAATTCCCAGCCCTGTATAACCCAGGCAGAGAGGTAGACTTGTGCAAGCCTAGCACCCAGGAAGCAGGAGCATCAGAAGTTCAAGATCATCCTTGGCTACATTTTGAGTTCCATGCTAGCCTGGGCTAAGGGAGAACCTGTCACAAACACATAATTTAAGTTAAACAATTCTGTAGTCCTGGATGTGTCCTGAAGCAGCAGCAGCTGGTCCCCGAATTCACCCTCGAAGGCTGATTCTTCACAAGAGGCACTTGTGGGGTCCGCCTGGGGGAGGGGCATGCAGCTCATCTGTGGGGTCCGCCTGGGGGAGGGGCGTGCAGCTCATCTGTGGGGTCCGCCTGGGGGAGTGGCATGCAGCTCATCTGTGGGGTCCGCCTGGGGGAGGGGCATGCAGCTCATCTGTGGGGTCCGCCTGGGGGAGGGGCGTGCAGCTCATCTGTGGGGTCTGTCTGGGGGAGGGGCATGCAGCTCATCTGTGGAGTCTGTCTGGGGTAGGGGCATGCAGCTCATCTGTGGGGTCCGCCTGGGGGAGGGGCGTGCAGCTCATCTGTGGGGTCTATCTGGGGGAAAGGATGCAGCTCATCTGTGACTCACAAAGCCAGAGTGCAAGTCAACTCTGCTCCTGGGTGTGTCCTGAGAGAGGTCAGAGGTGGCCCCTGGGAGGTAGAGTGGGCCCCCTGTGTGACAGCCTGGCTGTCTGTAGACTTGAATTTTGACCATATTTGCCCAGTGACTTGTGGCTGCCCCAGGCTGTGGCATAAATACCAGTTTATCAGGTTTATTTATTTTGTCCCCACAGAGCAGAGAGGAGCCAGCAGCCTCCCTGGGTGGTGTCGCCCACTCAGAACTTGGCCCTGGACAGGAGGCTGGACTATGGCTGGCACTGCTGGGGCCCCTGGAGCTTCTGAGCCGTCCTTTGGGGTCCTGGGACATAGGAAAGCAGGCCTAGCCTGCAGAACACTTGGTCAGTATCTAGAAGGCAAAACGGAGTCCTCTTTCCCAGAGGAATCTTAACCCACCTTGTCACCAGCAGCTCTCCCTGTCGCTGTGTGTGACCAGGCCAGGCTGAGCAGAACCCCAGAGGCCAGCAGCCTCAGGGATGGGCTCAGGTACAGGTTCCTAGCCCAGAAGGGCCCTGGGGACACAGCTTGGGAGGGATAATGGGGACAGAGGCCTGCCATGGACTCTGGCAGCGCAGTGCCTGCCTGAAGCACCATGACCACAGGGAGACTAAGCCGGAAGTCATCTCAAGAGGCGGCCAGTGGGGGAAGCAAAGAAAAAAGTGAAATGGCTGCATCTAGCCATTCCTGAGGCTGGAGCTGCCATGGCTGTGAGCTTTCCGAATTTAAACTGCCCTGTCTTTTGTCTTTTTTTTTTTTTTTTTTTTAGACAAGAGCTCACTATATATCTCAAGCTGGAACTCACTGTGTAGTCCAGGCTAGCCTCTAGTGATCTCTCGCCTCAGCCTCCAGGGCACTAGCATTCCAGGTGTGAACCAGCACACCAGATTCCTTCATTTTCTTTTGTTCTTTTTCTTCCTTTTTAATTTTTTTTTTTTTTTTTTTTTTTTTTTTTTTTTTTTTTATCCCTTAATTTTTTTTTTTTTTTTTTTTTTGGTTACTGGTTAGAGATAGAGTCTTATGTAACCCAGACTAGCCTCAAACTGTAGCAGAGGATGATCGATGACCTTGAACTTCTGATCTTCCTGTTTCCACCTCAATAGTCTAGGATTACAGGCATAGGGCGCCACACTGGGTTTATGTGGTGCTGGGGATCTGAACCAGGGCTTCGAGCCTGTTAGACAAGCACTCTACTAACTGATCTGCATCCCCTGCCTCCTTCCCCCCTTCAGTACTGCGGATACCCCCCTCCTGCCTGCTAGACAAGTGTTCTGCTACAGAGCCGTGACCCACATTTTTGTCTTTTGACACGAGGTCTTGCTGTATAGTTCAAGACAGCTTTGAAACAGCAATCCTCCTGCCTCCCAGACAGCTAGGAGACCTAAGCCACCACACATGACTAGTGTGTGACTGTCTTTTTTCAAGTTTTATTTTTATTAGTGTGTGTGTGTGTGTGTGTGTGTGTGTATGTGTGTGTGTCCATGCATGTGTATAGGTGTCCACAGTGGCCAAAAGAAGGCATCCTCCAATCCCCTAGAGTTACAGATGGTTGTTAGTCGCCATATGAGTGCTTGGAAATGAATCTGGGACCTCTGCAAGGGGAGCAAGTGCTCTAACTATTGAGCCATCTCTCTAGGCCTGAATATCTTAATTTGTGGCCTGCCTTTTTTTTTTTTCTCATTTATTTTCAGGGGAGAGTGCAAACGCAGTCCCCCACTACCACAAATTATGCAGTCGAGTTTTCCGCATTTGGGGAAATCGCAGGGGCCTGCCTTTATTTCCAGCACCGGGGAGGCAGAGTCAAGTGGATCTCTGAGTTTGAGGCCAGCCTGGTCTACAGAGCAAGTTCCAGGACAGCCAGGGCTACATAGAGAAACCTTGTCTCATAAAATAAATACAACAGTAATAATAGTAATAATAATAATAAATAATTAAATAACCCCTTTTCTCCCCAAATTGCTTTTGATTAGAGTGTTTTATCCCAGCAACAGAAATCAAACTAGAGCACGAAGCACTTTCTCTGGTGGGGATCAAGGTTAGACGTTTCTGGAAGAAGTGCCCACCTCTGATCCTCTGAGGCCTCTTGACCCCACTTGCTTAGTGCAGACCGCGTCAGCTCCTCCTTCACAGTCAGGACTGAGATTCCTGGACTCACCTCCCTGTGAGCTTAGTTACCATCCTGGAATGGAGATGAAGTTTTTACCACTGGACAACTCTGTGTGGTCCATCCATCTCACATGGATCTCAGCAGCACCTACTGTGAGATGATGTCTGTGACAGAGAACGTGGGCACACAGGAGCAGGGGATCTCAGCAGCACCTACTGTGAGATGATGTCTGTGACAGAGCGTGGGCACACAGGAGCGGGGGATACAGGGACTGGGCCATACTGGATTCTTTCTTTCCATGTTCAGGTTAAACAGGACCCTCCCTGGGCCTTAAAAACCTTGCGCTCTTATTTTACAAGCCACAAACATCCCTGATGGGACGCTTGGGGTGTCCTCCCCTCACTTGCCCACTCATACCAGCTGCTCCCAGCCCAGGGCACCTTTGCCCCCACCAAGGTCTGGCCTGCAGGGGCCCAAAGAGCTCAGGCTTGCTTCATGACCAGCCCATCCTGACCTTCCCAAACTCAACTCACTGCTTCCTCCATAGAGCTGCTTCCCCTCCCCTGAGGGCACCCAGGCTGCGTGTGTGTGTGTGTGTGTGTGTGGGGGGGGGGGGTGCTGTAAATGCACCCGGGGTGGGGGTCTCAGGCTAGAGACAGGTGTTGGCAGTTCCTGGCTGAGTCACTCCTGGAACCCGGTTGAATTTCAGTCCCATAGGCACCACGGTGAGGTGCTGAGTTCTCCCCCACCAGCAGCCCTACCTCTGCCTCAGGACTTTGGCACACTCTTCTCATCCCTGGCACGCTCATCCCTGCCTCCTGCTTTCTCCCTGCTCTTAACCAGAATTTCCCTTTCTTTCTCTACTTCCTTCTTGGCTCTGGCCACACCCACACTTCCAGGTCCCTTACAGATCCACTAGCTAACTGCTCAGCAAGTGCCCACTGAGGGGGATGGGTCACCACGGGGTGACCTAGCCTGTTCGGCAGCCAGGAAGAAGGGTGTCAGGGATGTGTTCTTGCCGCCTGGTAGAGGCCCAGCTCCACTGGAGGCTGGTGTTGGGGCTCTTTTGGTCAAAAGAACACTGAGTCACATATACAAGCCTGGGGCCAGGACTTTCCCTGAGCAGCCTCCAGCAGGCTCTGGTGAGCAGAGCCTGGCCTCCAAAGGGAACAGCATTCCAGGCCAGGGTTCAGCAATGAGGAAGTTCTAGGGGTGCAGAGGTGGGGGGGGGAGCAGAAGAGAAGTCCCCTGTGGTTGACACTTGCTAAGGGGAGCCCTGAAGACTGGAGACTCAGTGGGGCCATCCGGAAGTGATGTGTGTGATACAATGTGGCTCTGGTTTCCCAGGGACCCAGGGAGAAAGCCCAGAGAGATGACAGTTCCCAGAGGACTCTGCCCTAGACATCCAGAGCTTTCCCACTTGCTCATGGCCTCCATCCAGCTGTTGGGGTTGCCTAAGCTCGGGGTTCCCAACTCTCTGAAAGCCCCTCCAGGCTGGTAGGGGCAGCCCCTTCCTTCCCAAGCGTCACTCATTTTAAAAGTACTGAAGACCTAGCTGACGACCTTCCCTCCACAAGAGGCCACTGCCCACCGTCTGCGTCACAGGGAAGACTGGGACAAGCTCTTGGGTATAGGCCAGCCTGCTTGGTACCGCCCCGGGTGACCTGAGGACACAGGCCAGGAACCAACCACTGAACATGCCACTTGCCCAACCCCCACAAGTCCTCAGGAAGGATGCCTGGCCCCCTGGCCTGCCTGGGATCCTCTTGACCCAGCGGCCTTCTACCAGCTGGGGAGAGTACATCCCTCTCTGGGCCAGTGAACTTGGTGCCAGCCCAGGAGCTCTGTGTGACTGTGCTGGACGCCACATCCTTTCATTCCTTAGGTTCTCAAGGCAACCTATTTCCACTTTTACAGAGGAGAGCAAGAACCAGAGAAGGTATGTGGCATGCACAAGGTGACTCACTGGGCAGGATTCGTGTCTTTCTGTGGTAGACAGTCTTCTCAAGGTCATTGTGTTGGCTGGCCCTGCGAACACAGCTGCATGCTTCATGTACATGTGACTTCATGCAACTCTCTACATGTCCTGGATCACGAGTAGTAGAGGGTGCAAGCGTGTGCCGTGGTGTTGACTCCGGCACGCACCCCTCATGTAATCAGGGCTCATTGTTTCTGCCATAAATGACTGGATAAATGGCTGCAGACTCTTTGAGGGCATCTTGCTTGCCACCAGGGTGGGGCGTTGCCTAGTTTAGGCCAAGCATATAGCCTGGCCCCCAGCCGAGTGCTGGGAACTTCTCTGAGGTACTGAGTGGAGCTTGGGGGCTCAGGCCTGCCCCTCCAACTCCTCATCCTTCACCAAGTCACCCTCGGAGTTCCACCCGGGCCCTTGATTGCTCTCATTCTGCTGTGGACGTTCAGGGCCGGCTACCTTCCTCCGTCCAGGATAAGCAGTAAGAAGCAAAGTTGGAGTTTATTAACAAAGATATCAGCACAGAGAGTGATGAGAGCCAGGGGTGCTTAGGAAAAGCAGAATGTACCCCCCAAGTGTGGGAGTGTGTTTCTCAAGAGACAGACACGATGGCAAGTGTTTAAATTTTTTAGGTGTATTTATTTTTATTCATATGTATATGTGTGAGCTTGAGCGAGTGTATGTGCCCATGGAGGGCAGAAAAAGGTGTTGGATTCCCTGGAACTGGAGTTACATACGATCGTGAGCCACCATGTGTGTGCTGGGAACAGAACCCAGGTCTTCTGGAAGAGCAGCCAGTGCTCTTAACCTCAGTCATTCTCCAGCCCCTTGATGAAGTGTCTTCATGGTACTCATGTACAGGATTTGGGGGCTTTTGACACTCCCTCTCAAAGGGTGTATGGGCGACTTAGTGAGATCAAGGTGGTGCCT